AAATATAGGTTATGGGCGCCGGATATGAGCGTGAGGATCTCAGGGTTTTTGATGGTGTGATTTAAATGCCCTCTTATGGAAAGCTGTTTTATTTAGTAAAATACCCAAAACTTTATATCGACCAAATTACGTGTCGTAACTATACAACTTATCCTGTTGGTGCGGTTAACATATTTATAGAATAGCGAGCGGTCGGGCGCCCGCGAGTGCCCCGGATTGGTTGGTCTGTTCCTACAGTGGTGGCATGGTTATATATTTTAAATTAATATTTATTAAATAAAAACTGACTAAGTTATTTTGTATTGAACTTGATAGTGTTCTTCATGGCTCGACAAAGGTAAAATTTAATAAAACAGATTCATCTTTACATAGTATAAAATAAAGTCGCAGCCACTGTCTATTTCCTTAGATATTTTAAACAACGCAACAGATTTTAATGCAGTTTGTAACAATAGATAGAGTGTTGTGAGTGCTTTATGTATTAAAATTTACAATTATTGAAATTTTTGTTACGTACCCGTGCGAAGCCTTGGCGGGCCGCTATAAAGTATAAAACAATTTCGTTTCCCGTTGTCTGTCAGTACCTAATTACGTCGATTTTGATGCGTTTTTATAGTTAGAATAGATAGAGTGACTCAAGAGGAAGGTTTAGGCTATATAACATCCCACTACTGAGCAAGGATCTTTAATCGTTCGATAACCTATAATCCACGCTGGCGGAAAGCCTTGTAATACAACTAATAAATGAATGTATTTGCAGATTTCCCCGAGAAATGTCAGAATACACAATGCTACTCCATCATCCAGAGCCGAAGAACAGTGACCGGGCGCGCATCATGTACGAGAACAAGCAGCACATCAGCGAGGACGGACTCAACTCTGTGATGTACGAGTCCGTGCAGGTGAAGCCGCAGCGGCTGTTCACGTTGATCCAGGTCAAGTTATGATATGTCATATCAGAGTGGTAGCCAATGGTCGATGGATTTTAAATGGTAACTAACTTGAAGGTATTCAAACAATAAGGTTCTTCTACAGTACAGTATGCTCTATAACATAATGTGAATTATTTAATGAGGGAAATAACAATATTAATAGCCCTAGAACTAATAACCCAGTCGCAAACTAAGTACCGGTTTTGTTATGAAGCTGATATCAAGACTACACATCGCGCCATCTAGTCCCAAATGGAGTTGAAGTTATGTTATGGCTAAATAACTGATAATAATATATGTTTTAGGTGAATACATACAAAATATACATAGACTAGCTTTTGCCTGCGGCTTCGCTCGCGTTAATTTATCCCCTTAGGGGAGGAATTTATCAAAATCCTTTCTTAGGGGATGCCTACGTCATAGTAACTTTATGCATGCAAAGTCTCAGCCCCATGGGTTTAAAATTGACAAAGATTCATACAATTTTTCTACCCCTATTTTATCCCCTTGGGGGTAGAATTAATCAAAATCCTTTCTTAGTGGATGCCTACGTCTAACATCATAACATCTTCATGCATGCCAAATTTCAGCCGGATCCGTCCAGTGGTTTGGGCTGTGCGTTGATAGATCACTATGTCAGTCACCTTTGAGTTATATATATTTAGATGTATACAGATATTCTTTCCTGTGTGAAAGACGATTCGTTCGACATAGGTAGTTAATCAATTAAATCTTAAAACATCTTCAGATCTTGTTTAATTGGATTTTCAGTGGTTATGAGCTACCCTGTATGACCGCTGTGAGACAAGGCTGTGAGATGTGAACGCCAAGGTTTAACACATTTGACAGACTCGGTGGCATTGTGGTTTAGCTCATTGCTTTAGTTCCAATCGTCGCAGGATCTATTCCTCGCACGGTACATACATTCATATTCATGAATATGATTGTTTGTATCGGTCTAGGTTGCTTTCTATTTATATTATGTATCTATTTACAAAAAATGTATTGATATATTTTTATCAGTTATCTAGTATTCATAACACAAGCTCTTGGGACTGGATGGGGGGCTGTGTGAATTATCCAGGGTTATTAAACCTAATAAACTATAATAATAGTAAATTTTGTGTACAGTTTGCAAATAGTGTGAACAAAACCTAGGAAGTAAAACTATAACTGTAACTTTTGGGTAAAATTGTTAGTCGATATAGTTAGATACTATTAAATCCTAAAACGTCGTTCTAATTGTAGAATGCAGAAGATGGCTATGAGGCTAAGTTAGTGAACCCCACGTGGTCCAAGTCTAACATTCGTAAAAGTTTCTAGAAGGATCACGTGGACTTACTAGTCCTCATTCCTAATCATCTTCTCCCCTTATATATGGGTGATTCGTTATCTCCCGTTGGTCCACTTTATTGGTTTCAATTGGTCACTTATTGGGTCTAGCTGGAGCCAACACATCAAGAGTGGACTGGGCTCATATATCTCGAAAGGTTGACCCACTTTGTTGTTTTAATTGGTCAGTTATTGGGTCTAGCTGGAGCCAACACATCAATAGTGGACTGGACTTGTATATCTCAGAAGGTTAGTCCATTTTGTTGGTTTCAATTGGGTCTAGCTGGAGCCAACACACCAAAAGTGGACTGGACTTGTATATCTCAGAAGGTTAGTCCATTTTGTTGGTTTCAATTGGGTCTGGCTGTAGCCAACTCATAAAGAGTGGACTAGACTTGTATATCTCTGAAGTTTGGTCCTCTTTGTTGGTTTGAATTGGCCATTTATTGGGTCTAGAGGAAGCTAACACATCAATAGTGGACTGGGCTTGTATATCTCAAAAGTTTGGTCCACTGATTGGTTACAATTGGCCAGTTATTAGGACTATGTGGAATCCACACATCAATAGTGGACTTGCATTTGTCAGAAGGTTGGTGTTGTTTTAATGGGTTCCTTATTGGGTCTAGCTGGCGCCAATACACCAAGAGTGGACTGGGCTTGTCTAAATTTTAAAATGGGTGTGGTTTAGTCAACGCAACAATATCAGACTGCTTTTATTGTATTATATATAACTGTAATACATAGAACATTTAAGTACTGACATATTTTCAGCGTTTAGAACTTAAGTACTTATACTTATATTTATTTTAAGTTTCTGGGTAGTAAAAACTTATTTTTTTAATTAGATTCTTTCGAATTGGGTTCTTATGATTAATAATATATTTAATGTCAAATTTCTAGTTCACGCTTCTTAACTGGACTTTGGTTTAGGTAAAATTATTTTCTTTGATATAAATTAATTTTTATATACCACATATTACAATGAAGTTTTCATATGTAAAAACGTAGATATTCATTTAGGGGATTCGTATATATAACGTACTGTATTTTACTACGCAGTGGAAGCTTACTGGGCCCATAACCTACAATAGGTTTTTTATTTTATAATAGAACAGCAGCAATTTACAAATATAATTTATTAATTAGAACAGAGCAGAATATCCAAGAGAGACGGAACAGAGTAGGTTGATGTTTAGACAACATAACGTGAAGCAACTATATATGCAATACCGTCTTTACCATAAGGGCACACGAAGCCCGTGCCCAGGGCCCCCATTCTCAGGGGCCCCCCGAAGGACTCATTTATTCTCAAAAGATTTTTGTCGGGCATACTACATTTTTTCACAAATGTTATCAAAAGGTATTTACAAGGCATATACTACGCCATTATACCAATTACTTCGCCTATTCCTATGTTCTTACCTAATGTTTTTTTTACATTCCAAAAGGGCCCCAAATTCTTGTGTGCCCAAGGGCCCCAGCCTAGTTTAAGACGGCGTTGTATATATGTATAGTCATGACCATGTTTTGTTAGATGTGAATACATTTGATATTAACTAAACATAATGAAATGAAGTAGCTAGTATATTTTATAGTACTTTACTCTCTATACCCAATATTAACCATTAATTAGTACAATTATTTATACATTAACCTTTCGAATGTCTGTCGTCTAGGCAGCGACCGAAAATGAAGAAGAGGTATAGCGTGCGCCAGCTGATTTTTTCAAATGCGTTTCGATCTTATAATGATAAAAAATTTAAATAATACCAATTCAGTTTATATTAATGGACTAAGCAATATTTTTTTTTATATATTTTTTTTTGTTTCTATTTATATATTTTAATGTTTAATTTTGGCAATGTTATATTATTATTTAATAAATTATTGTTCGTTAGTAGTATTTCAGGTTGTTGTAAAAGCTTATTAGTTAGAAACGTAGTAAATATGCAATGGATTATGTACTTAATGTGGTTATAATGAAACCAGCCTATAAGGCTAATGTAGCTAGATATAAGAGTGTAACGTCCTGTATTGCAAATGCACAAGTTTAAAATCAGCTGTTAATTTTTTGCAACAATTCTTAACACGTTAAAGGCCATGTAGGTCACCGGTGAGCTCATAATGTGTGGTTGTTTGCGCCGCGTAGGTCACCCGTGAGCTCACATTAGAGTTGTGTTGAGCGCCGGCGCGTGATGTTTTCATACATTTGTAGTATATACGACGACCTCGGTGGTCTAGCGGTCTAGCACACCGCTTTACGACCGATGGTCGCGGGTTCGATTCCTCGCACGGCACAAACATTTGTATTCATGAGTATGATTGTTTGTATCGGTCTGGGTATTTTCTATGTATAATATGTATGTATTTACGAAAAAAAAATTATCTATGTATTTGTATCAGTTGTCTAGTACCCATAACACAAGCTTTAGTTAGCTTAACTTGGGTCTAGATGGCGCTATGTGAATTGTCCTGAGATTATTATTATTATTATTATTATTATTATAGTAGTATATTGACCGGAGCGGCGCACAACAACAACACTCGGTCATGAGCTCGCGGCGCACGTCAATACTAAATGTGTTTTTTGTCCCACAGCGCCGCGGTGGTCTCTGCTCACCGAAATGTATTCTTTATTTTTCTGGAAAATTTCAATCCCAAATTAAAAAATAAATACGTTTTAATGTTTACCAATGTCATAAAAATATTTTTTTTTTATACAAAATAATTTATTTTTGGCATTTTTACAATGGCGTTTAACGTGTTAAGTCAACAAAATCGTTCGCAACATGAACACACTCTGTAACTGTGTACATTGAACTGTACTTTTGAATCTGTGTATATGAAATTATTTTAAAGATGTATTAATATTATACTTATAACCTGCAACCTACAAACTACCTACCAATAAAAGTCCCGTCAAAATCGGTCAAAAAATGTTATTTCGGTGTATATACCGTATTTATATTCACATGCATGTAGTAAAAAACTGTTATTTCAATATTAGAAACAGAGACTCCAATTTCATTTATATGTATAGATAACACTTTCTGTATGTATACAAGTTATATTATAAAAAAGCACAAATGTGTATGGTGCAAGTAACTGGACGTGCGTAATAAAATTATTTAATTGAATGTGTTTGTTTGATGTCGAGGTGCTCCATCTCTCCCCAACTGCGTCCGGCTGACAGTGCCACCGGTAGTCTAACCGCCAAGCCACACTCGAAACCGCAATTTTCCATGGCATCCTTTATAATACCTAAATATGTTACAAAAATACAGGGTTAAAGCTGAAGGATAAAATAGTATATATATCGTCGGTTAAATAGAAAAATGACAGTATTCAAAATGCAATTTTTTTACAAGTTAAAAACTTGAAAAAAAAAATAAATATTTTAAATGTTTTTGCTTCAGTTTTAAATTTACACAGAAGTGTTATATATCATTTTAAAAGTATTTAGATAATGATTAAGACGGCGTGGTTAATTTAATTGACTTATACAAAAGGAGGCAATTGTAGCTTCTAATTTTGAAAAATGTTATTTTTCTATTTAATCAACGATATATTATTTTATCATTTAGCCAATATTTACCTGTTATTATTATTTAAAGTATAAAATAAATAAATAACCCTGGACAATTCACACAGCGCCATCTAGACCCAAGTTAAGCTAGCTAAAGCTTGTGTTATGAGTACTAGATAACTGACACAAATACATAGATTTTGATACATACATACATTTTATATATAGAAAACACCCAGACCGATACAAGCAATCATACTCATGAAGACAAATGTTTGTGCCGTGCAAGGAATCGAACCCACGACCATTGGCAGTAAAACGGTGTCCTTTACCACTAGACTACCGAGGACGTCAAGCATACTTTTGAACAATAATAACACTGGTAACTGATAATAATGTTTCTGTAGAAAAACTTAAAATTCATAGCGCTGACAATATTATCTGATTTCACTAATAATGAGTGCGTAGCGATTTCTATGTTGATTATCGCATGCCTCTTACTTGTTGCTTAAAAGAAACAATACGCAAGTTTCCTGCTCTTGTGATGAGTCTGCGTTCCGAATGAGTGGTAGAATAAAAAATCCCATCAAAAACATAAATGTGAAATGATAGCCGAGTTTAATATTATGATATATGCCTTGATTGTTGACTTCTACGACAAAAGAGATGAGATCTAAATGGGTGCCAAGTTCAATGGTCTGTCCAGAAATGTATTTATAACAATATAAAATATCATTTCTTCTTATAACTTAAGATAATATACTGTAGCCTAAGGTCTAACTTGGCTAGTTTTCATATACGAAATATACTGTAGCCTTCGCAAGTTCTAAACATGTTACTTGTCGGTTCCTATTTTAATATTAATAGTAACTAGCAATCGAAAGTAATAATTGGTATATGAGAACTGGCCAAGTTAGACCTTAGGCTACAGTATATTATCCTAAGTTATAAGAAGAAATGATATTTTATATTGTTATAAATACATTTCAGGACAGACCATTGAACTTGGCACCCATTTAGATCTCATCTCTTTTGTCGTAGAAGTCAACAATCAAGGCATATATCATAATATTAAACTCGGCTATCATTTCACATTTATGTTTTTGATGGGATCTAAATTATAGCAACTAGTGTTTACCGCTCAATGCAATATTTGAAGTTTGCTAGTTATCGGCACTGATGTGAAGGGGTCAACGTAAATTGGTAATGATCGACGTTTTCATACAATATTACTTAAAGTCCAGTACAAGATGAAATTTTTCGCCAGGGATCAATGTCAATTGGTGGCTATCGACGTTTTCATAGAATTTTAGTATTCGTCCAGTATAAGTTGAAATATAATCAATTAAAGTGAAAAATTGTAGGAAAATGATAACAATTTACCAGTTTCAGATTTTTTCCTTTATATTCACCTAATTACCTATCTGCATGCCAAATTTGAACTTCCTAGGTCATCTGGAAGTGGGTTATAATTTTGATCTATAGTTGATCAGTGATAAAAATGACGATTTTTGGACATTAATATCTAAATAACCGTTTGAGATATGTTTATGAAATTTGGAACACATATTTATCTCGCAAGTCTCAATATATGAACCAAATTTGACAGGTTTGTGTGATAGAGTTTTTGAGTTATGAGGGGGTCAAAAGTGGCTCCAAATGGTTCGTGTAAATATACACACGGTGCTGCAAGCCAGTTTACTTGAAACTCGGCTTGACACGCTGCCGCGTGTCTAGATATAACTTCAAAACTGGTTATATTAAGTTGATTTGAATAAAGATTATCTCTACTATACAATTCACAGCCCCATCTAGTCGTAAATTAACAAAGCATTTTTTTTAAATACATAGAAAATATAGGTATATATATAATACATGTACACCATGCGAAGCCGGGGCGAGTAGCTGGTCATTTATACATCATAGCATCCAGATTGGATCACAGCAGACTCATACAGAAGAACTGACAAGAAACTCGGCTCTTCAAATTAGATCCATTACGAGCAGGTGTTGATAGAAGATATTACTAAATACTGACCGGCGGCTGCGTGCAGTTGCTGGTGTGGCACCTCCCACACCAGCTCGTCGTGGATCTGCAGCAGCAGATGAGCATCCACCGGCGGCCTGGTACTGCCCAGCCGCTCTGAAGACACTATCATCGCTGTTTTACATATGTCTGCCGCTGAACCTGTAGCCAGTCATCACCTGTATTATAGGCTTTTGTATTGATTGCCGCATGCATCCTTATGTAAAGTGCGAATACTGTAACTACCATATAGTAATTTTTGTAGCTGTGACGTGGTCGTGTGGAATGAGTAGTCATGCTCACTAAAATGTCCAGACATGTGGCGGCGTGGTGGGCCGGGTCAATGGGCTCCCTAAAATATGGTCGAGCGCAGTGATGGCTGGCTCATCCGTCATACTCGTGAACGAGTGCTGCTTGTAGGGACTGGTCTGCTCTTATCACTACGACTGATTTAATCTTATTGCATGATTATATTTGACCCAAAAAATTAGTGCTTGTTGGTAGTTTGTATTCACACGTTTCGACTTGTAAATGTAAACTTACAAGGATTATTTAAAAGAGCACACACACAAGTTTCTTGCTCGTTCTTCTTGTGATGAGACAGCTTTCCGAACGAGTGGTAGATAAAAAACAAATTGTTATGACTATTCAAAAGTGCTTAAATTAAGTTTATTTGAATAAATGATTTTCTATTCTATTCTATTCTATAGGTTGATAACCGAGATAAACTTTGTACGAATAGTCCGCGAGCCAGAGGCTTTCTTTTCGTCAATTCCTCCCGATTGAAACTTCTAAGATGGCTAATAAAGTTGTATTATGAAGTTTAATGAAAGTCGACTATGTTTCTGAATGAGAGTTAAAAAATAGCACTTTCGCAAATATATATGTCGCAGAATCAACAAAGAGGCTCAACTGATTAGTTTCTACTAGAATAGCGCCATCTATTATCGTTGTTGGAAACGTCAAGCGGTTTGCTAGGGTGAGGTCGGTACAGGGCACAGATAACAAAATATTACATACAGATACCCCATCCCATACAAGAAAATGGTTCCTTCCTAACTCGGGCTATTCTTCGGGCTATTTTATTTCGCCACCGTAGCCGCTAGATGTCGCTAGATCTGAAGCAGTTCGGATTACTAGTGGGTGCTTAGTAACAAAGCATGAAAATAGATGGCAGTGAATTCAGTCTACATGACATCTGTTTTGCAAAGATATGTATATAATAGATATGTAGGTAACTGTATCGTGTACCTCATTAGGGACGATTCAAGATTCAATGTAAATGTGTAGGTATAATATCGTTAGCCGACACTCTGCAGATATGGCTTATGTGCCAATGTATATACCTATTGTGTTATGGTTTATTTTACATTCCATGCCTATTTTTTTTGATATGTTGTAACGCGTCTGCGCTATACGTATAGCCTGATTTTGATACGTTTATACTCGTACGTATCAAAATCGGGCTATACGATTTTTTATTTCAATCGTTATATGTATGAGACTGATTTTAGCTACAATTAATTTACTGGTATATACCTCATGTATTCTACGATGTACCCCTCTTTTACCTAATGAGAATTCCGCTATATCTTATATATAAATTTTGTATCACAGTGTTAGTTGCCATATTTCTCCCACATTTTGATGAAATTTGATATGTATACTTCCCAGGTCTGAGGTAGGGTTGTTATCTATTTTTTATACCCCTAAGTCATAGGGGTGGCCTACCCCGAAAAAATATTTTTTTGTATTATGGACAATTTTTTATTTATTTATAATGTTACATTGAAAATACATACACGCCTAAATTTTCACCCGTCTTTCACCAACCCCTATTTTTAATAGCGATATTCTTACAAATATTATAAATGCTAAAGTAACTCAGTCTGTCTGTTTGTCTCGCTTTCACGCCAAAACTACTGAACTGATTTAATTGAAATTTGGTAGACAGATAATGTAGACCCTGAGAAAGGCTACTTTTTAATGCGAAAAAGTATTGAAAGGGGAAATGAAAGGCTATATGAGGATATCGTAATTTTTAAAGTCAGATCTTGTAAGATTAAGTGAACAGGGTCGGTCTAGGTTTTTCATTATTAGAAATGTGTAACGGGGTAACACGTTATTTAGTGCGAAATTGTGTATATTACAATAAAATTTAACGAGAAAATATTATAATGATATCACTGGGACACTCATTGCCTTACTACTATATCGTCCGTTAGTCGCGAACTTTCTGGAAACACGAGAGGCGCTATCCTATTGGTCGGTCGGCGCGGTTACCGCGCGTAGATGAGTAGATGAAGTACTTAGACGAGTCTCACGGCGCCGCAGCGTAAGTACTTACTATACATACGTAGTATACATATGGGTATTACAAATGTTTTTATTACTAGTAATATTACTCTGTTATCTAAGCAAGTAATGTGTGCTTATTTTGAACTTGATAACATTCTGAATTACTCGTATATCTTTCAATATCTTTAGCGGTATAAACCAGGTTATGTACTACTACTAGTATTGTTAGTGAGGGATAAAGTTGATGAACAAAAATAAAACAATATTCGTATTAAAAATATATTCATCTAATATTTTTGGCATTATTTTTAAGTTTCTTCCAAATATAAGGGGTCTGACATGGGGTGTTATGTACCTACATTAAAAAATACTTTTTGAAATGTATGAAATAAACGTATTGTATGAAATTTTTGAAATGTGTGAAATGTATGCACCTACATTAAAAGATAATTTTTGAAATGTATGAAAGAAATGTATTGTATGAAATTTTTGAAATGTATGAAATGTAAGGACTAGGGAATGCAATCCCGACTCGAGATTGCAAATTCGGGATCCCGCGGGATTAGAAATATCATATACCCGGAATTTTCGGGATCCCGTCTAAATTTAAAAAAATGTTGAATTCAGATGACTGAAAAAGCTAATAACTGCTTGTTTGTGATAGTGAGGTTAACTAAAATAACATATTACTCGAAAGAAAATAAAAACCTTTATTCTTTAATCTTACCAACTAAATAATAATCAGGTTGTAAGGAAATTAACGTAGGTAAATTAGGTAATCAAAACAATAAGCTTATTTCAAGGGAATTAGGAAAAAGAGTGATTTTGAAAATGACTCCTTAAAAAACAAAGGGTATTAATAGTTTCATCTGCTAAACGGCATCTAATGTCCGTTGCAATGTACCCCGCTGCTGAGAATGCCCTCTCCGACTCAACGCTGGTTGGCAACAGCGCGGCGAAGCAATTATATGCAAACTGCAAAAATCGCCCCCTTGTTCCTCCACACTCAAACAAATCCATTTCTTTTTTAATGGTAAATTCTAATTTGTCTAAACTCGTGGACGTGGATATACGTGCAAAAGGACTTTTAGAAGCTCGCAGAGTTTCTTCTAATTCCTCTTGAAGCGATTTATTAGTTTGTGCAGCACGTAAATTCAAATCTTCTGCAATCATTGAAAGACGCAAGTCATCTTCGATTAGTACTGCCGTATTAATATCTGCTTGGTTTGGTTCTTTACGATATAATCGTTTATTTCGTAGTTTATTTCTTTTTCACTGCCGCCCAATCCCGTCAATCTCGAACGGGATCTCGTCATATGATGCGTCGGGATTGATCCCGAAAAATTACACGAGATCTCGCGAGATCGGGATCCCGCGGGATCGGGATTGCATTCCCTAGTAAGGACCTACATTAAAAGATAATTTTTGACATGTATGAAATGTATGAAAGAAATGTATGTACCTACATAAAAAGTTCATTTTTGAAATGTATGAAATGTATGAAAGAAATGTATGTACCTACATAAAAAGTTCATTTTTGAAATGTATGAAATGTATGAAAGTAATGTATGTACCTACATTAAAAGATAATTTTTGACATGTATGAAATGTATGAAAGAAATGTATGTACCTACATTAAAATATAATTTTTGAAATGTATGAAAGTAATGTATGTACCTACATTAAAATATAATTTTTGAAATGTATGAGATCTATGAAAGAAATGTATGTACCTACATAAAAAGTTCATTTTTGAAATGTATGAAATGTATGAAAGAAATGTATGTACATTAAAATATAATTTTTGAAATGTATGAGATGTATGAAAACAATGTATGTACCTACATAAAAAGTTCATTTTTGAAATGTATGAAATAAATGTATGTACCTACATTAAAAGATATTTTTGACATGTATGAAATGTATGAAAGAAATGTATGTACCTACATTAAAAGATAATTTTTGACATATATGAAATGTATGAAAGAAATGTTTGTACCTACATTAAAATATAATTTTTGAAATGTATGCACCGTACAATAACAATACACGTTAAACATCATACCACAGAGTCATACGCAAGTTAAAAACAAACTGCTATGATATTAATGAGAAAGGAAAATAAACTTTATGGTATTTGAGTTAGGGTCGATTTCTCTCTTTTTTTTAAAACTATTTTAATCTTACCAGTTGCCAGTATTCGAAGACAGCTACGATTCGTACTCGATATTTTAAATTATTATGTAATCGATTTTTCAGTACAAATGTAAATAACCAACGACACTAATAATGTACTACTATATTCCGTTCTTTGAAACGGAATACTGCTATACTTAATACAAAATAATGAAAATTTACTGTTCACAACGACTCATTAAAAGCATCATCGAATAATGCGCTGTAATAAAATCCTGTTATCGATTATTAAAAAAAATCGATAATACATGTATTTATTTTTAATATGACAACACTTCATACATAAGTATTATTGGAAATAGTATTATTTGCTTGTTCGGCTATTTTTAATTTACTTAAACTTTTTTTATATGTTTAATTTACAATAATAATATATTAAGTGCTTATTATTGGAAAATATAAAAAAGACATTTAATTAGGCCGATACAAATGACAACAATGCCATCTATGAAAGCATTTTGAAAACATTGAGCCCCGTATTAGCACTGATTAAAGTGTAATTAAGTACTGGAAAATAACAAAATGAGTAAATATATGAAAATTACTTTTCTAAACGCATTATTTCATTTTAACATGTATATATATTTTTTTAAAAATGGATTAAACTATTTTGAAAACACAGTTTTGTTTTTTAAAACGTTTGCAAAACTATGAAGAATTCCATCGATACCAATCACGCCATCTATATGCAACTTTTAGCAATAATAATGGCCTCATTGAGTGCCACTGGTACAGGGTAAAGGAGTTTTAACGGCAATTACGAAACGGCACTTTTGAATTGGGGGCGAGCGCGAGAGGTTGTTCTTCACTCTGTACCGAACTTGCCGCGTTTCCCTGACTAATCCGTTTGCATCTGGCTGATCGTTGTTAAATTTATTATTTTGTTATCGGGAGTGAGTTAATAGACTATTATATTTTAAATCAAGACTATTATTTCTTGCCTAAACCATGCCCAACATGGGTTCTGATGACGAGGTATCCCAAATAGAGGAACTACCCTCGTTATATAAAAATACTGTAATTTCCTGCCAGCTCTAATCGTGATTAAACCTATCTATAATACAAAAATGAATCGCTAAATGTGTTGGTAAGCGCTAATCTCGAGAACTACTGAACCGATTTCGATAAATCTTTTTTTAGAATATTCTTTGAAGTACGAGGATGGTTCTTATGGAGAGAAAATTTTAAAAAATTGCCTAAAAACAACACTTTTCTGTAATCCCATACAAAATACCATACCATAAAGTTCAAATGTTAGTGGAGAGGTTCCGGGAAGAATCCCATACAAATGATACAAACTACCAACCAGCACTAATTTTTTGGGTCAAATATAAATATACAATAAGATTAAATCAGTCGTAGTGATAAGAGCAGACCAGTCCCTACAAGCAGCACTCGTTCACGAGTATAACGGATAAGTCCATTTCAGTTTTTCAGTAAGTTTTGGACCGGTAGAAAATTGGTCACCTTGACTTGATCCTGGCTTGCGGGCCATAAGCATGACCAGGAAGTTGAAGGCCTGCCTCTCGGCGTGGGCCCGCAGCGCAGCCCCCTCTCCTCGAGTGCGTACCTTGCACCAGGAAGTTGACGGCCTGCCTCTCGGCGTGGGCCCGCAGCCCAGCCCCGCTCCTAGAGTACTTGCACCAGGAAGTTGAAAACCTGCCTCTCGGCGTGGGCACGCAGCGCAGCCCCCTCTCCTAGAGTACGTACCTTGCACCAGGAAGTTGACGGCCTGCCTCTCGGCGTGGGCCCGCAGCGCAGCCCCCGCTCCTGGTGCAAGCCCCGGAAGTGTTCTCCGCCGGCCGCTGGCGGCCACCACACGGCCACCCCGCGCCTCACACTCTTGCACCACGCCGCGGCCGAAGGACTTCAGCGACGGAAACCTTCCTAATAATATGTAATACTATATTATTATCTGCGCTAATATTTAAGAATACGAGCTGAGTTTCTTGTCAGCTCTTCTCATCTCGAAATCTTTTCGAACTGACGGTAGATTTGACATCATAAGAGTCTGTAATAGATCTACATTATAATTATTATTATATTTATATGTATGAACTATGAAGGTATCCGCAAAATACCAGCATCGTGGCACACCGTCCCCACATATGCTGAGCGGAGACCTATTTATCCATTAATCCAGTATGCAATAAAAAAAATATTTTTGTTATTGTTATTTATTTATTAAAACTTTAATGCACAAATACAAAAATAAGAAATGCAGACTTAACACCATAAGACATTTTCTCCCAGTCGACCATGAGGTAAACAGAGATTAGTGGGCGGTGCATTATTAAGAAAATAACATGAAAATAAATACAAGTAAGTAGGAATAAATAAAGTAAATATATATATCCAACTACATACATACTTATATATAAATTTATACACAAATACATACATACTAAAAAAACATCAACAATGAATAGTCCGGTAAAAGCAAGAGATCATTTTAACAATTTTCCATAAATTAGTGTCGTATTATTAACCGATGTCCTTGGAAAGATGTTTACGTACTTTGGATTACAAGGTAAATTTGGTAGTACTAGATTTTATGTCAAGGGTTATTTTATGTGTATTAAATAAACTTATTGTCTTTCTTTTCTTTACAAATAGTAATGGTATAGTTACTGTTGAAGCTGGTGATGATAGTGAGCGCGTGGTCGTAAGTGAGGTGCAGTATGTCCATGAGCGTGGTGGTACCAGCGCCGTACACGCTCGCATACACCATACGCTTGGTTCGCTCGCGATCCTCCGCACACACCTCACGCTCGCACTTGTTCAACCTCACACACACACACAAATAAAATAAAATAGAAAAAAAAACGAGAGCTGCTGTCTGTACCCTGCCGTGGAATGACTATCATATTTACTACCCAATAGATGCTTTTCACGTACGCTCTTTAACACGCGAATAGGCTATCACATAGGAAAGAGTGTGCATGTAAATGTAGGCAATGATGTCATTTACACGCACTTACTGCGCTCGCGGACTTTCTCGTTTCGTCGTCTACATTTACACGCACTTACGGCGCGCGCGGACTTTCTCGTTTCCTCGTCAACATTTACACGCACTTACGGTGCGCGCGGATTTTCTCGTTTCAACCTCACACACACACAAATAAAATAGAATAGAAAAAAAACGAGAGAAGAGGTGGATGTTTGGTGTGACAAGAATGGATAAGATAAAGAATGAATACATTAGAGGAAGTATGAAAGTGGCGCCGGTGTCGGAGAGGTTGAAGAGTAATCGTCTATCATGGTATGGACATGTAATGCGTAGGAATGAGGATAATATTTTAAGAAAGATGTTACATATGAATGTGGATGGTTATAAGGCAGAGGAAGGCCGAAAAAGAGATGGATGGACTGTGTGAAAGATGATATGGTAAGAAAGGAAGTAAATAACGCGATAACTGCGAACAGGGATGAATGGAAGAGAAAAACATATTACGACGACCACAAATAAATGGGATAAGGAAGAAGCAGATGATGAGAAAAAGAACATTTTCTTTAATAATTTTCATATAAGCACTTTTTGGGGAGAGGATTTTTAGTTTTAGTAGACCTCCGCGAGGAACCGCATGGAGAACTACCCATTGTGGTAGAAACCTTAGTGTGAAATTCCAGGTCAATCCATCACGATGGGCTAACTGACCTGACCTCATCTTATCCTCCACTGGTGCCCCGCCGGCGTATACCCTTAGAGGAGACGGGTGTATGGTTGTGCATTATCATTTGTAAAAAGAATATAAGCACTTTTGTTCAAAAGTGCTTATATTCTTTTTACAACTGTTCAGTCATGTAATATTTTTTTTATTCAACCGCTGATTCGAAAAACAGACTCATCAGAGCACAAGAAACTTGCATGTGGCTCTTTTGAATTAATGTTGTATGTATAGACAAATTTGAATTTTAAAATGAATCTGTATTATTGTAAACATGTATAACATTTATTTGAAAAGAATTCGAGCTGAGTTCCTTGTCAGTTCTTCTCATCTCGAAATCATTCCGCACTGACTGTAGATTTGACATATCATAAGAGTCTGTAATAGACCTACATGAATATAGAAAACAATATATACCAATATACAAAAGTTTGTATCGTGCTAGAATTGAACCCGCTACCAAAGGCGGTGTGCTAAACCAGCAGACCACCGAGGATATTACAAAGAAAATACAAATTAAATGATGATTCTCACCACTTAGCAGCAAGGACGGTAAATATGTCGTCTCCAGACTTGAGCGCGTCGAGTAACGCCGTGTCGCCGGCTATGTATGCGAACACGCGACACTCCACGTGCTTAAAGTCGGCCGCGAGGAGGCTGTACCCAGCGCGGGCCACGTACACAGACCGCAAGTTTAGCAACTCGCCTAAAAATCAATAGTACATTATAGTCAGCGAGACAAAAACTTTTTTCGTCAATTATTTATTCATTAAATTCGTCTTGTTTATATTGTAAACGTGAAAGTTTGTTATTTACTACCGTACTTTATAGTAACGTATCCTACTTTATTTTTGGTAATTATACTTTTATATACAAATAAAGTATGCATAACCTTCACTGTGATCCGTAAAACAAAATACTCATTATGGGCCCTTAACGATTTATAATTACTGAATCAAATGTTAGATGTCAATTATGAGTTGTGACATTTATCTCTAGCATTAAAAGCACACTAAATACGTTTTTAAAGCAATAAAAACATGGAATTTGATGATTATTTAATTTTTCCTAATACTTTATTTTTCCTATCCAATTTATACGTTCTTTTGTCAAAACAAGTTGGCAACCCTATTGTGTGTATACTTTATTATTATTACCTATTACTTACTATTATGATGGTCGTTATCCTCAGTAAACGCAGTGAGACTGAAGGTCTTCGGTATGGCCTGCACGTTTGGGTTACTTGATGCGATGCGGCCAGTGGCGGCTGCAGTCTGTACCCTGCCGTGGAATCACTATCATAATTACTACCCAATAGCTGCTTTTCACGTACGCTCTTTAACACGCGAGTAGGCTATCACATAGGAAAGAGTGTCCATGTAAATGTAGGCAATGATGTCATTTACACGGCGCGCGCGGACTTTCTCGTTTCCTCGTCTACATTTACACGCACTTACGGTGCGCGCGGACTTTCTCGTTTCCTTGTATAAATTTACACGCACTTACGGCTCGCGTGAACTTTATCGTTTCCTCGAACACAATTACACGCACTTACGGTGCGCGCGGACTTTCTCGTTTCCTCGTCAACATTTACACGCACTTACGGCGCGCGCGGACTTTCTCGTTTCCTCGTCAACATTTACACGCACTTACGGCGCGCGCGGACTTTATCGTTTCCTCGAACACAATTACACGCACTTGCGGCGCGCGCGGACTGTCTCGTCTACATTTACACGCACTTACGGCGCGCGCGGACTTTATCGTTTCCTCGTCAACATTTACACGCACTTACGGCGCGCGCGGACTTTCTCGTTCTCTTTGTCCATGACTTCGTTTGCGTAGGATTAGTACTTCAAGTAATGGTTATTTATTAAAACAACAGAAGCCAATACACACAATCATACTCATGAATTGTATTACACTATACGAGGATCGAACCCACGACCATTAGAGGCAAAGCAGTCTATTGAAACCTAGATCACCAAAGCTATCAGCTTTGTTGATTTAAATAAAATAATATATTGAACACGCAATAATAATTTACAAATAACGTTACCAGTTCGGTCTGAGGACACCGTCTGCGACGTGTTGAGCTACGCCAGTCAGGAATGTGGCATGTGCCTTGTGCAGGTGACGGTACTGTAACACGAGCCGCGGCAGCGGGTGCACCGACACCAGACCACGCAACTGTATGACATACACACACACAACACTCTAATATTGGCGAGAAGGGATTAATAGTGTGGATAACCTTATTGCTAGCAATGTACCATGTTAGGTTGCCCTCCACGCGGTTCCTTCTGGAAACCATCAGGATAATGTATTTTATGTATATTTGTAGAAATATGTATGTATTTACATGTGTATATTCTATAAAATATTATAATATTATTTGCACGCCAACAACATATCGCTGCACAAATCATGGTTGCCTGGTAGAATGCCATCAGATGTTAAGTCCGCCATATGTACTCTTTACTTATGTATGACGTGCATTAAAGTTATTTAAATAAATAAATTCTTGGTGAATTTGCCATCATGTGCTAACTGACCTGGCCGCATACTCATCTTATCCTTCACTGGTGCCCTGCCATACGTATACCGTCAGCGCAAGCGGGGGCACCATTCCATTATCATCCCTTGAAAATAACCAGTCTTAATAGGGGGAAAGGTTAGAAGTAGAAGGGGAGGGATTGATATTTTTAAGTCCATTTTACTAATTTATATAGATTTTTTTGAATTCTTGCCTCTTCCCTTTGAGAATCTTGTATTTTTATACATATTTATATATTAAGTAGCTTTTGCCCGCGACTTCGCTCGCGTTAATTTGTCCCCTTAGGGGTGGAATTAATTAAAATCCTTACTTAGAGGATGCCTACGTCATAGTAGCTTTATGCATGCAAAGTCTCAGCCCGATCGGTTTAAAATTGACAAAGTTTCATACATACTTTCATCCCCTATATTATCCCCTTGGGGGTAGAATTAATCAAAATCCTTTCTTAGCGGATGCCTACGTCATAACGTCTACCTACATACCAAATCTCAGCCCGAACCGTCCAGTGGTTTCGACTGTGCGTTGATAGATCACAATGTCAGTCAGTCACCTTTGAGTTATATATATTTAAATAATGTATAAATGTTTGTTTGTTTTCTAAGAGAGAACAATAAAGAATTTTCATTTCATTAAATTTTGTTTGAGTTTGAGTTGAGATTCCGTTGTCATTTTTTTATTTATTTATTTCCTTTGAATATGTTACATTGTTCTTACAAATTAATTTACAGTTCAGCTACATTTTCAGCACGCAAATTTAAATTCATGTTAATATAAATTTACCAAATGTTAACAACCAATATCATAATTGTTCTAACTAATATAAAAAACCACAGTACCATAGACTCTGAAGTAGATTTGGCGCCTTTGGAAATGGTCTCTCTGATTTTTATATTGCATTTGGTGTCAAGTTGCAACTCGTCGTATAGTATGGTGCGGACTTGTGCGGGTGAATTGATCTGGAATGTTCTCCCGGCTGCCTTGTAGCACTCCGTCTCTACCAGTTTCATTTTGGACATCAGCGTGGTTTCCATAGTCTTGAGTTTCTCTATATCCACCATTATGCCTCGATGTTCCATCTCTACAAATCATTACATAGTATAAAACAAAGTCGCTGTCGCTGTGTTATGGGTACTAACTACTAACTGTTACAAATACATTTTTTTGTTAATATATACATAACTAGCTTTTATCCGCGATTTCGCTCGCGTTAATTTATCCACTTAGGGGTGGAATTTAACGAAATCTTTTCTTAGGGGACGCCTACGTCATAGTAGATTTATGCATGCAAAGTCTCAGCCCGATCGGTTTAAAATTGACAAGGTTTCATAAAAACTTTTATCCCCTATTTTATCCCCTGGGGGGTATCCCCCAGGGGATAAAAATAGAATTAATCAAAATCCTTTCTTAGCGGATGCCTACGTCATAACATCTACCTGCATGCCATGTTGATAGATCACTATGTCAGTCACCTTTGAGTTTTATATATATATATAGATGTAGTGTGTATATGTTAACTTTCATCCCCCATTTTATCCCCTTAGAGGTAGAATTAATCAAAATCCTAAACATCTACCTGCATGCCAAATTTCAGCCCGATCCGTCCAGTGGTTTGGGCTATGCGTTGATACATCACAGCGTCAGTAAGTCGCCTTTGAGAGCAGATATACATAGAAAATACCAACATCGATACAAACAGTCTTATGAATACAAATGTTTGTACCGTGCAAGGAATCGAACCCGCGACCATCAGAATTAAGACGATATCCCAAACCGCTAGACTACCAACTCTTTCCCATGATCATACCAGCAATTACAGGCAACAAGCGCATTTCAATATCAACGAAGACTCTCCACAAAGACTCCTCCACGAGCAGGTTCTCCAGTTTGTATGTACACTCCTTCAATATTTTAATGGACCAAGCTGCTTTTTGCAGTACACACTCAGTGGTGAACTTGGGAGTCACTGTCAACTGTTTTTGAACATCCGCGAATGTTTCTGGCGGATTGTCAGGGTCGAGGAGGCTGCTTCCGATCTGTATGTGTGAACAAATCTTCAAAACTCGCGACTTCGTCCGCGTGGAATTTAACAAAAAAGTCGATTAAAGAATTTTTAAAAAAAAAGTTGCATAATGATCTCCTTATTACATCAGCTACCTGTCAGAAAAGTGCCGTCAAAATTGGTCCAGCCATTTCCGAGATTAGCCGGAACAAACAGACAAAAATTGTAAAAAATGTTATTTTGGTGTATGTACCGTATTTATATTCATATGCATGTAGTAAAAAACGGTTACTTCAATATTACAAACAGATACTCCAATTTTATTTATATATATAGATATTAACGAAATTTTGTGAATATGTATGGATGTTTGTTACTCATTCACGCAAAAAGTACTGAACGGTTTTTGATGAAACGTTACTATAATATAACTTTTATTTTATTTTTTATTCACAAATATAAATTTCATTTAAGAAATTAGGATGGTGATGTTATATTTAAAAATTAATCATAAGTCATTATTCAAATTTTAACACAAGCATTTTGATATTTACTTGACTTATTAACTAATTATATCATTTACATAACTTAATTATACAACTACAACCTAAAATTAAAAAGCTTAAAATATATAATAATATAACTTGTTAGCGGTATGTATTAGGGGCTTTATTTATATGCCAGTTTTGGTTGTATATAAGTAGTTTATTCTAATAATAGTAATTTACAGCTATATAGGGTAAACAGTATAGTGATTGCCCATTTAAGAAAATTCTACTGGTTTTATATGTATATAAATGTTTATTAAAATAATAGGTATGTGAGTGTCACCTCTTTTGTAACATTAATAGTTTAGCTAAGAGATCCAGTAGTAACAATTTAAATATCTTAAGAAAACTAATAATTACAAGGTTTAACAAAAATAATCTCTAAAAGTATAGTGATTGCCCGGACCAGATAGTCATTGCCTCACGCATCACATAGTTATTGCCCACATAGCATTAACTGCTATAGTTACTAAATCTAGTTAAAAATATACCATGTAAACATGGTATATTTTTAAACATCCCAAACAATAAGAATTACTTATTGTTTAGGAATGTTGACAAACAATAATTGTTAAAGCAAAACAATGTCTCAAGTTTTAAAGACCTTATTTAATATTTGAGATCTTTTATAGCTTTTTGTACGTTAGTATACATTTCTAAACAATCAAAATCAGTGTCTTTAGCAGAATAAGAATCATCTACTTTATAGTAAAAATGACACAAAAACAAAAGAATATCTAAATCTTTTTGTATTTGTAGACTTACTACACTAATAAAAGATTTGGGGAACAAATAGACTACAAATAATACCAGCAGCCGAGAAAGTAAATAAAATGATTATTGATTATTTTCCATTTGAATGTTCAATATTATAAACGTTTCTAGAACCATTTTCAGCTACAACTAGTCCTGCACTTGGCTTATTACTTTTTCATCGACATAGCACCATATTTCATGGAACCTAAATCTTTTTCAGATACACATGAGCTTGATTTTGTTCGAACACCTTCAAAACTCCGTATACTTAATTTAGGATATCTCTTTAAAAATACTTTCCACTATCCAATGTCAGGCCTATTATTCACGAATGGATTAGGTCTTGGATTTTCCTCTAGAATTTTTTTAACACTGTCCAAAATATTTTCTTTATGCCTTGGAAAACCTTTTCGTGCTGAAGTTGTTATGCTGTCTTCAAGAATAGCTTCTTCTTTAGCAGTTAAAATTGGCACTGAACCCAAGCTGATTTTGTGTCCTGAATTATGTTAAAATATGGAAATTGTCGATCTGAAAACCTGTCTTTGTTATTTTGGATTTCGATGATTGCCTTCTTTAGGTCTTCCCGTTTGTATTTTAACTTCTCAAAGACGACCTCGGTGGTCTAGCGGTCTAGTCTACCGCTTTACGACCGATGGTCGCGGGTTCGATTCCTCGCACGGCACAAACATTTGTATTCATGAGTATGATTGTTTGTATCGGTCTGGGTATTTTCTATGTATAGTATGTATGTATTTACGAAAAAAAAAATATCTATGTATTTGTATCAGTTGTCTAGGACCCATAACACAAGCTTTAGCTAGCTTAACTTGGGTCTAGATGGCGATATGTTAATTGTCCTGAGATTATTATTATTATTATTAACTTGGTAACCTTCGGCATTCTATAAAGAACTAGATAATACTGCTACGTAAATGTATTTAACAAAAATAAACTTACTTTAATAGAAATTGCCCGGGCAATAGCTGTACCCAATGCCAATGGCAATAACTAAATACCGATATGGCAATCACTAAAATTCATCTAAATAAGATTTAGTAATTGCCCACCCCATCTAACTCCTTAAGAGGTAAATTTTACATCACAATAACTTCTTGAAATTACACTATAAAGCATTTACTAACTCATTCTCTATAGCAATAAGTTTAAAAAGGAGCTAAGTTAACACAAGAAATTAAAACAAAAAGTGTATCCTTAAGAAATTCTTTAAGAAACCTACTTTTTCCGATAAGAGGCATACCTGTTGTCAACAAATATGCCATAACACCATGTTTCTCTTTAAATTTTGCCAATTTATTATTAAACGTTCTACTAGAGGATCTCTTAATGCCATCCAGCGAATTTAATTCGAATTAACTCCTTTATAAATAGGTTTAAATGTATCATCTTCTTACTGTGGGCAATATCTATATACTGGGCAATCACTGTAGTGTTTACCCTATAGTAATGAAGAACAGTATACAAAAATTAGTGATCAGAAGTACAATAGTTGAAGAATGTCTTTAGAAGAAGTTAAATTGTAGATTGTTTCCCGCGCAAAATGCAACGCGCCACAGATTCAAAATATACGGACTCCGCGCCGCCGCAGTAGGACGATAAGCGCATTATGGCAGTATGCGTAATGTGACCAGACGTCCCGTAATGAACGGGACAGTCCCTTTTTATAATTACGAGTCCCGGTGTCCCCGAAACGGACTCTGGAACGCAAAATTGTCCCGTTTTCTGTAACGGTGCGAAATTTTGGGTAGACGAGCCGGTTGTTAGTTGTTGGTAATTAAGGTGAGTATAAAAAAAAATGTGCCAAGAGTGTCATTCTTACTTAAATACTTCTTAAAAAGTCAAATTTGTTCCTCCGATAACAAAACATTTTATTTTTATCAGATAAATATAAACTATCTATGTATAAACAAAATGTTTAATTATATTTATCGGATATATTTCTTAATTGATAACTTTTTTTGAATAGATAATTTAAAAAAAGAGCTTTTTTCATTGGCTGTCTGTTAATTGTGTCCCGTTTTGAGTCGAAGAATAAATGGTCACATTAAGTATGCGCGATGTTAGTACTATGAGTATTAACACTTGTACATAAGACGAACATATGGGCTATAAATACACGGGTGAAACCGAAAGTAGTAGACGAAATTCAATCATAATTCCCTAAACATTCAATAAGATTACCTATAGACTGTAGTTTTTGCGTGAAAGAGTAACAAACATACTCACAAACTTTCGTGTTTATAATATTATTAAGATTAAGATAAGATCGTAGCACGTAAGTTTACCTTAGTATCGACTATCGCAAACTTTACTGGAATATTGAATTTAAATAGCAGAATCAACAGGACTTTGCCGTCATAACACTTCACAGTTTTATGTTCCAAAATATTTGCTACCATTTCACTGGAAATGAAATATCTGTGATAATTTTTAAACAGTATCTGTGCATAACGCACCTTTTTATATGATAACTAGATTTTGCCCGCGGCTTCGCTCGCGTTAATTCATCCCCTTAGGGGTGGAATTTATCAAAATCCTTTCTTAGGGGATGCCTACGTCATAGTAACTTCATGCATGCAAAGTCAAAGTCCGATCGGTTTAAAATTGACAAAGTTTCATATAAACTTTCATCCCCTATTTTATCCATTTGGGGGCAGAATTAATCAAAATCCTTTCTTAGCGGATGCCTACGTCATAACATCTACCTGCATGCCAAATTTCAGCCCAATCCATCAGTCACCTTTGAGTTATATTTATTACATAACCTAATTGTACAACTAAGAACCTAAAATTAAGAAGCCTAAAAAAATATATAATAGATGACTAAAATATATTATTAAAAGGGGTCCCTTTAGGCAACGTTTGAGTTATATATATTTATTTTATATTTTTTTATATACATATTTAAATTTAATTTTATTGTCAGATTTGAAATATATGTCTTTTATCATCAGCTACCGTAGTTTCTCTTATAAATAAAAATAAAATATTATACGAGTCTACACTCCTTAACAAATATCAGTCATTAAAAGTATGATTGCCTAGCTGATGGTAAGTGGTAACGGCGACGGTTACCACTTACCATCAGCTAGGATTAAATGCCAAAGGGCCACAACGCAAAAAATTGACATTAATTTTTTTCCAAAAATGGTATCGAAATCGTTATATTTTTTTACATAGATATACCACTTATAGATTTGTAAAAAAATTAAAAATATCACAGTGAAAATTTTGATGAACTCTTCTCTAAAATTTACCCTTTGCGTCATGTCATCATCATCATCATCATCATCGCAGCCCGGAAGACGTCCACTGCTGGACATGCGTCATGTGGCCCATTGATATTTAATCAGCGATATATTAACTTGACCTACATCACGACCTCTGTTCCCCCGTCCAATTCAAACGGAGATCGAAATTACGACTGCCTGAGCCGAGGTTCGATCCCTTAGCGGTGCCCTCAGATTAAAGTCGTATCCGTCAGGCGTGGGTTGGCCTTCAGCCGCTCCATAAGTCCTTCCTTGGTTTGGAGTACCATCTGCACTCGCTCCCTACCGTCCGGTGATGCTGTAAAGGCCAGCTGCGGCCAACAGTGTTGGAGTAGTTCCAATAAAATATCACGATTCGTATTTCCGTGTCCTATAATCGGACGTGCGCCTTTTTGTTTAGTACCCCAACGCAAGCTCTGCTTACTGTGGGACTAGATGGCGCTGTGTTAATTATTTATAGTCAGATATCCGTCATTTTGCAATAACAATATAAATTTTAATAATATATTAGTAATAAATAATATTAGTAAATTAATTTATTAATTAGTAAATAAATAAATAACCCTAGACAATTAACACAGCGCCATCTAGTCCCACAGTAAGCAGAGCTTGCATTGTGTGTACTAGACAACTGACATAAATACTTAGCTATGTTTCTTGTAAATACATATGTAATATACATTGATAACACTCAGACCGATATAAACAATCATACTCATGAATACAAATATTTGCACCGCGCGAGGAATCGAACCCGCGTACATAGAAAGTAAAGTATACCAAACCGCTAGACCACCGAGGCCGTCGTATAAAGTAATATAATTGTAGAGTTATTGATTTATAAAATTTAAACGTGTCTTTGGAATATAAAACCTGTTGATTAAAAAATAAATTTTAAAAGAAAATGCCTCATCTATAAGAGCGTCATAAAACCAGTGTGGACACATACGATGGAACTATAGGGCTCAGTTTCACACTCTAACATAGAAATTCTTCAGCGCTTCCAAAACAAGCCATTAAAAACCATAGAGCTCGTTGGTTCATAAAAAACATTGAAGTACATACATATCTAGAAATGCCAACTGTAAAAGAAGAGATACAGAAAGCCTGTGCGAGATATAAACACAGATTAGCTGTCCGTGAGAACCAGTTAGCTTCAAAATTAGTGGATATAGAAAACTGTCCATCTAAATTACAAAGGGCTCGCCTTGCCAACATCTAAATAAATTTCAATTTCCTAAAATACTTGCTTCTCTAAGTAAAACATGTAATGAAAGAAACAAATATGATAAATATAACATTTATTAAATTGATGATAATCACATTATAAACCTATTAGAGCTAACTCTTTATGCTGATAGAAATAGAAATAATCTTTATTCAAATAAACTCATTACAAGCACTTTTGAATAGTCATATTTTGATTCTACTATTCATTCGGAATGCAGATTCATCACAAGAAGAATGAGCAAGAAACTTGTGTGTTGCTCTTTTGAATAGATGTACTTTTATATAATAACTAGAGGGTGCGTGTGTGCGCGGGCCTCAAGAGGCCCGCGAGGCGTTGTCGTTGATTTTTTTTGTGCAGACGGTTTTCTTTTCGAATAGACTTGGTTGGCAAGTAGAGTTGTCTGTTTTGATACGATTAGGTGACTTCCTATTGTAACAGTGAATTTTTGTTTCACGTGTACCATCCTGTGGCGAAACTTTGTATTGTAATGGTCACAATACAAAACCTAACCTAACCTACCGTTCTGTATACTATATTAGTCTAGGGTCAAAGTTTTTAATGTAGAGATCATAATACGAAACCTAACCTAACCTACCTTTTTGTTTACTATATTATTCTGTGGCTTTAATTTTTATTGCAATGGTCACAATACAAAACCTCACATTACCTACCTTTCTGTATTAGTATACAGAAATGTATGCTTAGTGTTGCCACCTAATTTTACAAAAAAATCGCATGAAACTATTAAGATGAGATTTATTATAGATCCCCGTCACTCTTATGTTAGAATGTCGAAACAAAAAATTCCCACATTTTGGGTTTGCAAAATTACCTAAAAATCGGGGAAAATTTGTAGCCTAGATAATATTTCAAACCGAAATCTACCATGGCTCAATAAAGGCCGACTCGCTGCAGGGAAGCCAGGTACCCCAAAATGTATTCCTAAATTTATCATCAGAGATAAAATACTCGAACTCGGCCGCCATCTTGGATTTTTCCTTTTTGAATACTTTTAACTTATCCACTTTGGCGATTGAAACATTTTGTCCATACATTGTACAGAGCTAAGGTGACTCCTAGTAGTTCCTTAGTACTGTTTACTATGAAAATTAGTTAATACTTCGCACCGAGAGTTTCCATTCCTCAATACAAGTCAATTCGTTGCAGGGATGATGCCACAGAACTGAATTTTAAAAAGTTCTTAAAATTGTCATCATAGATAAAGTATCCTAATTCGGCCGCCATCTTGGATTTTTTATTTTTAAATACTTTTAACATATACACTGGTGATAGAAACATTTCATCCATATATTGTACAGAGCCCAGGTTACATACACCTAAGAGTTCCTTAGTACGGTTTACTATGAAAATCGATGTATGGTGTTGCCAGGAGATTTTGACAAAAACCACCTAGGGCCCTTTGAGGGATAATTTTGGACCAATGCTTATCACTGTTTTGTTCAAATTGACGAAAAAAAATTCCACGTTTTTTTACTTTTCTTCGAAATTACCCCAAAATCGGGAAAATTTTTTGGACCAGGTAATATTTCCCACCGAGAATTTCCATTGCTCTATAGAAGTCAACTCGCTGCAACGTTTAGTGGTACCCCAAAATTGAATTTTTAAAAGTCCCTAAAAATGTCAACATAAATTAAGTACCCTAACTCGGCCGCCATCTTAGATTTTTACTTTTTAATACTTTTGACGTATTCACCCTAGTGACAGAAACATTTCGTTCATACATTGTATAGAGCCTCAGTGACTCCTTCTAGTACTATTCTCTAAGAAAACTGATGTAAGGTGTTGCCAGATAATTCTGACAAAAACCACCTAAAATCAATAGGGCCAGCACCCCCGCAACTACCCTGGGAATTTCGGTTTTTGAAACCCTAGAAAATTTTCAACCAGTTTTTGGCAATTTTTTCGCCGCCATCTTGGATTTTATTTTTTTGTTTTTACGCCATATTCTGGGTCCCGCCGAGACGTGCCAAATCACTCTTTGAACGGAATCGATCCGAGCGAAACTGTAAAAGTTAGCCGCCATCTTTGTCCGCCATCTTGGATTTTCCCAAATTTCGGAATTTTCTCGTGGTCACCCTAGCCAAAGGAACATTTCCCCCATACATCGTCTCGACCCCCGGACGCTCCTTCTGGGAGAACAACTATGTCAATCAGTGAGTGAGTCACCGTAATGCAGCTTTATATATTATAGACTAGAGGGTGCGTGTGTGCGCGGGCCTCAAGAGGCCCGCGAGGCGTTGTCGCTGATTTTTTTTGTGAAGACGGTTTTCTTTTCGTTGTTAGAGTTGTCTGTTTTGATACGATTAGGTGACTTCCTATTGTAACAGTGAATTTCTGTTTCACGTGTACCATATATACCTGTGGCGAAACTTTGTATTGTAATGGTCACAATACAAAACCTAACCTAACCTACCTTTCTGTATACTATATTAGTCTGGGGTCAAAGTTTTTAATGTAGAGCTCATAATACGAAACCTACCTTTTTGTTTACTATATTATTCTGAGGCCATAATTTCTACTGTAAAGAATCGCAATACCAAACCTAACCTAACCTACCTTTCTGTATACCATTTCGACCTGTGGCTTTAATTTTTATTGCAATGGTCGCAATACAAAACCTCACATTACCTACCTTTCTGTATACTATATCAATTTGGGTTCACAGTTTCTGATATAGAGATCATAATACGAAACCTAACCTAACCCACGTTTCTGTGTACCTTATTGATCTGTGACCAATTTCCATATTCTCCTGTCTATAGACCTAACCTTATCTTACTTTTCAGTATACTAATAGTCTGAGGCAATAATTACTATTGAGTAGCAATCTAACCTAACCTACCTCTCTGTATACCTTATATATTTTTGACCATAATTTCTAT